AAAAAAAAAAAAAAAAAAAAAAAAAAGAAAAAGAAATGTCTTTTAATAGCCTTCTGATAATTGGGGTTACTTTTCTTTGATTCTACACCAAAACATGAACTATGATCATTTCTTAAAGCATCATTGCACTATGAAATCAAAAACCATACTTATTTCACACTCTGTTTCATTAAAGTCCAGTGTTCTAGAATGCTCTTTAATGGATCTTCTCCCTATGTTGATTGTGTAACATACATTGATCATTTGGAAAATATGGCTTCCCTGGCTATGCCAAATGTCCTCATGCTCACTCACATCATGACACAAGATCACAAAAATTCAAACTTATTCGTGTTACCACAAATCTATCAGAAAATTGTTCAAGGATTGGAAAGCTGTCAAGCTCCTGTTGCTAGATACAAGTTTTCCAAAATGTTAAGGTTTTCTGGAAAGCTTGTTATAACTGACAACAAATACTGTTTATTGTTTTCCTTGTAACGACATTCTCACTTTGTTCATTTTTGAGAAAACATTTGCTGATACCCAGGTCTGAACAGCCATTGCCTGTCAGTCTTGTTGACTTGAGAGATTTCTGTATTCAATATGATCGGAAGTGTTTAAGCACACTTCCCATTTCATTATACACAATATTAAAAAGACATGAGCTGTCATTCAAAAATTAAGAAATTTTGCGACTCCATCAAAGGCATTCCTAAATGGAATAGGCTTTCTTTGAACTGCTAGTGTGTAGTGGTGAAGAGTACATGGTGACCTACACTGTGTAGTGATGCTGCCTTGATCCGTGCTAACGCACCAGCCACCTTGCCTACTGTTGGTTTCATACCATCAGGGCAAATGTCAGTATGATGAAAGGTCAGATAACCTCTAAGTACCATTATGAAAATAATTTGGACTTCACAGACCCCTGTAAGGATCTCTTAGACTCTATGGCCACACCTTGATAACTGTGTGTTATGTGGAGCACGTCCCTGCTCATAGTGCAGTCCTCACAGCATACCTGCCAGACTAGTCGTCACAGACATGTCTTATTTTAATAATTCGTATCAGCTCAGCGTATGCTTATGTTTTCAGAAATTCCTTATGATATTTTTAGAACCTGGTCTTTGGAGAACATAGTATTTTCCCAATTTTTTGTGATTATTCCCTGTGATATTTTAATTCCTGAGCTGTTCTGGTTCTTGTAGAGAGTTTCATGTTGGCATAGAATTAATAGCATAAAATAAAATTAATAATAACATACTTAGAGAGGAGAAAGAATAGTCTTGCATTCGAATGTTGTATTGGAATGTTGAAATTTAATACATTTATTTAAAAAGTAAGAAATATGTTCATTTCCTCATAAGTGAGATTTTCTTTATCCAGGCAATGTTGCAGCCTCTTCCTCCTTTATCATCTTGTCAAAATGTGGTATCCAAGGCTGATCATTCTTCAGTTGGGAGGTTTTGGGAGGAAGCAGATTCTTCACAGATCATGAAGACCATTGAGGATAGTTCAGAATGGGAGTCTCTTCCTCATCCAGCTGAAGTTGACAGAATTCACAGACATCAGGCAAACACAGAGCACGTGCTACCAAATTCAGAATCACCAGGGACCATTCTGCACAGCACTGGGGACCAGAGCCAAGCACAAAAAGCACTGGAGGAAATTCTAAGCTCTCTTCACAGTCACGGTCTTCAGGAAAGACTACAGCAGGTCAATCCCCAGGGAGCTCCTGTTGACATGAGCCTCCCTCCTCTGGCACCGGCACAGGCAGAAAGGAAAGAGACAGGTGACTTCAAGGACAGAGAGACTGCGCCGGAGGAAGAGGAGCTTCAAGAACTGCTATGCAAGCTTGTGGATGCTGTCAACCTGGAAATGCTGTCAGGTAAAGTCTTCACAGTCGGTAAACATAGTGATGGCCAGGGCTTCAGGCTGCCTTTAAACATCTTAATCTATGACTTGAGCGCAGCAGCTCCCACTCATCCAGTACATAGCAGAGTTCTGCATATTTTTGACATTGGTAGCATCTCCAAACTTTATACTTAGTATTACCTAATTCATAAGGTTACTGTGAACATTAAAAGTGCAAAATCGTATGAGACTTTTACAGCACCTGGTGCATAGTATACACTCAACAAATGTTTATTCTGTTGTTATTGCAATTATCACTACCAGTAGCTCTAAGTCATATATAACTGGGCAGCCTGATGTCACCATGTAGAGATGGGAATAATTGTCATCTCTCTTTCTAGAGGAGATTTGACAAAGTTTTCTGTATAACTAGTACCATCATCACCATCTCCTTTACAAGCTATGACTCACTGCTAAATTCTGAAGACTTTAAAGAAAATCCTAGCTGGGCTCGGTGGCTCAGCCTGTAATCCCGCGCCTTTGGGAGGCTGAGGTGAGTGGATTGCCTGAGCCCGCGGGTTCGAGGTCCGTCTGGGCAGCGAGACCTCATCTCTACAATAAATAAAAAAAAATCAGCCGGGCGTGGTAGCACATGCCTGTAATTCCGGCTACTTGGAAGGCTGAGGCGGAAGGATCGCCAGAGCCCAACAGGTCGAGGCTGCGGTGGCCGGGAGCGGCCACTGCACTCCAGTCTGGGCGACAGAGTGAGACTCCAACTCAAAAAAAAAAGAAAGAAAGAAAATCCTTCTTTGCTATAGTAATTTATTCTGTTTGGAGGTAATGATGTCTTATCTCTAGAGTATTTGTTATCTTCACATATATATGTATAGATGCTCCTTGACTTACGATGGAGTTATGTCCTGATAAACTCATCAGAACTCAAAAATATTATAAGTCAAAAGTACATTCAATGCACCTAAGCCACTGAACGTCTGAGGCAACTGAGCTTAGTCTACCCTACACATGCTCAGAACACTATCAGCTGGGCAACAGCATCTAACACAAAGTATATGTTACAATAAAGTTTGAAAAATCTCACATACTTCACTGAACACAGTACACAGTACACAGTAGAGCGCAGTGTTGGTTGTTTATCATTGCGACCGTGTGGCTGACTTGGAACCGCAGCTCGCTCCTACCACTCAACACCACAAGAGAGTATCATACTGCTTATCCCTAGGAAACAATCAAAATACAAAATACAATTTCTACTGAATACATAACACTTTTGTTCCATTGTAAAAGCAAAAAATTGTAAGTCAAACCATTGTAAGTTGGGAACTACATATAAATATACATATAACTATAACTACATATAAATATAGCTCAATATATAGTGCATATCTATATGAGGGAAACTCCCAAAATGGGATTTATTTATAAAATTGTGTATTTACTATCACGTATTTAAACTTCAGTTACCTTCCAAGTACTCTCCATTAGATGCAATACACCTACTGAGATACTTTTTTCATAGCTCAAAACAGTTTTTGAACTTGTCAATTTTGATGCACTTCTGTGCTTTGAGTGCTTCTGCCATTTTTGGTTTCTCTTCTTCTACAGCAGCAAAACATTTCCCTTTGAGAATTTTTTCATCTGGGGAAACAAACAAACAAAAAGTCACTTGGGGCAAAGATCAGGTGAATAGGGAGGGTGAGTCACAGGTGTCATGCCAGTTTTGGTCAAAAACTGCTGAACATTCAGTGCTATATGGGCAGGTGCACTCATAAATTACTCATCATGAAATGGGAAAATACACTGAAAGAATCACACACACACACACACACACACACACAAACTCACTGAAGCCAAACACAGCCTCTCACAGCAACACTAGCTGGTATACTGATGCAGATGGGGTCACAGAACACTTATCTAGTGGAGGAGGCTTGTCCTACAAGTGTACCATCCTCCAAAAGATAATTCCAGAGTTTTGAGGGGTTCCCTCTCGTACATGTGTAGTTAACTCTTGAGCAATGCATGGTTTGGTACTCCTGACCTCCTGCACAGTTGAAAATTTACACGTAAGCCAGCCTCGGTGGCTCAGCCTATAATCCCACGCCTTTGGGAGGCTGAGGTGAGTGGATTGCCTGAGCCCGCGAGTTCGAGACCTGCCTGGGCAGCGAGACCTCATCTCTACAATAAATCAAAAATCAGCCGGGTGTGGTAGCGCGCGCCTGTAAAATTCCAGCTACTCGGAAGGCTGAGGTGGAAGGATCGCCAGAGCCCAGTGGGTCGAGGCTGCGGTGGCTGGGAGCAGCCACTGCACTCTAGTCTGGGCGATGGAGTGAAACTCCAACTCAAAAAAAAAAAAAGAAAAGAAAAAAAAGAAAATTTACATGTAGCTTTTACTTCCCAAAACCTTAACTACCGATATCCTATTGTTAACTAGAAACTGTACTGATAGCATAAGCAGTCAATTAACATGTCTTGCATATTATATGTGTTATACACTGTATTCTTACAAAAAAAGTAAGCTAGGGAAAAGAAAATGTTAAGAAAATCATAAGAAAAATATCTTTGCAGCAGCAGATGAGTTAGATGAGTCTAGATCTGATTCATTCTCCTTCCACAGTAGTGTATGGGCATCTGAACCACACTGAGAGCAACTCTACCAGCCTGCACTGAGAGCACAGAGGACAGGTTGGAGACCAGAGTCACTCACTAATGTGGTGGTGGGAACTGAAAGGGACCTGGAGTTACAGAAACAGTCACAGAGCGAATTTTGGGGGTTTTTTGTTTGTTTGTTTTCATATTTAGTTTTTTTCTTCTCTTTCTTTGTTTCTCTTTACAATTTCATACTTGCTTGATTCTGTTATTTTAATTTTTTTTTAGATTTTTCTGTTTGTGTATGGTTATTTTTGAGGGTGAGTACATCAACAGGGTTTTTGTTTGTTTGTTTGCATGATTGTCTGTAATTTTTTTTCTATCTTTGTTTCTCTGTTTATTCGTTAGTTGGTACACATGTCTGTTTTCTCTCCCCTCCTTCTCTCTCTCTCCACCTTCCTTTCATCTTCTTCCTTCATTTTTCCATTATTTTCCTTTTTCTTATCTCATTTTGCTTTCAGGGGGCAAACGTACACCTCCACTCCCATTGCATGGACACATTGTAAGGCAGTGGGATGTGGGTTCCAGGGGACCAACACACATGCCAGGGGCTACTGAGATCTGCAGATGCTTCTGAATCACAGCTTCCCCCTTAATTAAATCTCAAACTGCAAAAAGCACATCCCCCCACTCCCAGTCCAGCTTCAGAATTGTACAATGCCAGAGGATCTACATGAGGAAGGAGACTGAGAAAACAGAAGTAAAAGCTGTTCCCCATCACTAAACAACAGAATTAAAGAAGAAGCTAACAAAAGGGGGAGGAGGAGGAAGGAAAACCTACACAAATGAAGAAAAACCAAAGGAGGAATATGGATCCCATGCAGACTCCTGGGAGGACAACTGAGAATAAAGACTTTGGAACTCAAACAATGAAGAGCCCCAGAATGACTGGTCTCAAACTACGAAATATCAAGATATTAATAAAGAGAATAAATAGAAATGAGGAGAGACAAGAAGAATGAATGAAGAAGTTGATAACTGAGATGACAGCAATGAGGAAAACAGTGAATGAAATAAATAACAAACTGATAAGCATGGAAGCAGAATTAACCAAGCAGAAGAGAGAATCTCAGAGCTTGAGGACCAAAATATGGAACTATCTCAAACTGTTATAAGCATAGAAAATAACCTTTAAAAGACAGAACAAAGCCTCTAAGAGATGAGTGATTATTTCAAGAGGCCAGACCTAAGATTCATGGGAATCCCTGAGGCAGATAAAGAGACAGATACCACCCTGGAAAAAACCATTCATGAAACTATCCAAGAAAACGTCCCTCATCTTATCAGTGACGTGACCATTCAAACAAAAGAGATTCAGAGAACCCCTCCAAGACAACAAATGAGAAGACCAACTTCTAGACACATAGTAATTTGCCTAAAAAGTAGGTATGAAAGAAAAAAATTCTAAAGGCAGCAAGATAGAAAGGTCAGACTACCTACCAGGGAAGACCAATTAAAATAGCAGCAGACTTATCTAGAGAAATACTTCAGTCTTGGAGAGATTGGAGTCCAATCTTCAAAGTTCTCAAAAATAAAAATTTTCAACCAAGAATAACCTACCCAGCTAAGTTAAGTTTCAATGATGGAGAATTAAAATTCTTCCCAGACATTCACTCCCTAAGAGTTTACATTGCCTCCAGACCAGCTCTACAAGAAACACTTAAGAAAGTATTAAACACAGAAGAAAGGAAAAAAAGAACAACACCCTTCACAAGATTATAGGGAAAAGATTGAAAACACATATAAATCAACTCAAAAATCAAAAAGACAAAAAAACAAACAAATAAACAAACAGCAAACTCTGTAAGAACCTCATACCAGGGATAAACTCTCAGATCTCAAGAATTAGCCTGAACATGATGGACTAAATGCACCACTGAAAAGACATAGAGTGGCAAATTGGATAAAATATCATGATGAAGCAATATGTTGTCTCCAAGAACTCATTTCACCAGAAACGACACTCCCAGACTCAAAGTAAGAGGATGGGGGGAAAAATTTCAGGGAACAGAACACACAAAAAAGCAGGAGTTGCAATCTTAATATCAGACAAAATACTCTTTAAGTTATCAAAAATTTTAAAAAATATGGAAGACCACTACATAATTTTTAAAAATTTAATCCGTCAACAAGAAATATTCATCCTAAACATATATGTGCCCAAAAAAGGAGCACCAACTTTCATAAAGCAGCTTCTAGGTAAGCTAAAAAAAGATATTGACTCTAACACTATCATTGCTGGGGTTTTAAATACCCTACCAACAACCCTAGACAGATCATCAAGACAAAAAATCAACAAGGAGATACAGAATCGCAAAATGACACTTGACCAAATGGATTTATTGGTACCTATAGAACACTCCATCC